CTTCCACCTCAAAGCAAGCCCGCCCCCCCCATGAGCCCACCCCCGCGGACCCCGACTGCAACGTAGTGTCCTGAGGGGCTTGGGGACCCTCCTGGGGTGCAGGGACCCTCTGCTCAGCCTGCCCTGCGTGCATGGGGCTGCACAGTCCCGCCGGCCAGGATGAGTGCTCCAGAGGGTGCCACCAGCTCAGTGGCACCACGTCCTGTGCCCACTGTCCCCTTTGCCACCCTCCCTTTCCCCAGCCTCCAGCAGCGCCAGCGAGGCTGGGATGCAGCCAGGGAAGGTGACCCACTGCCAGCGCCCCAGCATCCCCTGCCACCAGGGATGGGCGCTGGGGAGGGGGAGCCTGCCTGCTGCCCCCCCTATAAGAAGCTGCCCATTTCCAGGCGTCATTAAAGAGCAATTAGCTGGAAATTAAGCTGAGAACAAGTATTGATTAGCTCATTAAGGCTGGGGGAGCTGGCTGTGGCGGTAGGAATTGCTGCCGCTCGCCCTCATTATGGGCAAGGTTAAAGCTTGCGGTCGGGCAGCTCATTAAAAACGCCAGGGACCAATCGATGTCCCCAGCCCAGCACCGCCCAGCACCCCTGGAGACACCCAGCTGCTGCCTTTTGGGGACTGGCCTGTGACCTCTGGGACGAGCCAGCTCAGGAAGGGACTGAGCATCCTTGCTCCCTGCATCCACTACTGCATCCTGGGCTCCCACACAGATGCAGCAGTGTCACCTTTGGGCTTGTCAGCCCCCCCCCAAACTCACTGGCCACGGGGTTATCTTTCTGCCCCAACCAGGGGACTCAGTGGAACAGCTGCCCCCTAGCCCAGCAAAGTGAATGAGTCTGTGGGCTCACAGCACCAGGAGAGGACAGCCAGCATGGCTGCTGGCAGGGCAGCACCCCAGACCTGAGCTGAGTTTGCCAGGTCTCAGCCTAGCAGTGCCAGCTTGTACGGGTCGGGGACAGACCAAAGGGGATCTTAGGGATGGGATGAAAGCAGCTGGGGACATGGGGACAGGTGAAAGACAGCCAGTGGCTCTGTGCGGCTGAGTGCTGCCATGCCACGCTGCCCTGCACGCCAGCCCCACGGCTCTGGGGGCTCTTGGTGTAAGCCCAGACCCTGTCCGGCAATCTGGCCAGACCTGGCCACCCTGAGCCCCTGTGGCTCCAGCCTCCTGTCCTCTCCGGTCCCTCCCATCCCCATCTCTGCCTCTCGCAGCCACCAGCAGCTCAGGGCCAGCTCCCAGCCAGTGCATGCATGGAGGATGTCCCCACGCAGGCTGGTGGTGCGGGGGGAGGCAGGTGTCATCATTATTTTTGTTTTCTTTGCACTGCCCTGGAAATATATTGTATTCTCAGCTAATCCCGTTCAATTACACCACAATAAAACACATAATAAAAACGTAATTCATTTTTCCCGAGCATTCCATCTCCCTGTGTCTTGGCAAGCTATTAAAAATTTGTCTTCATTTTTCTGGCAAGAGCCTTGTACCTTTTCATCTTTAATTTATGAGAGCAGAATAGCTACTGACAAGCCCTTATTGCGCAGCGAGGGGCTGCATTATTTATAAGCCGCCAATGACTGGCTCAGGGGAGATATTTGCAATATGCTGGGGCGAGCAGAAGGAGGGGGACAGATCCCTGACACGCCTGTCCCAATCCATTCCCCCACCCTGGGTGGGTGCTGGATGCAGGTGTCATCCTGGCTGCCCCCACGGGGGAGGAGCACCCCCTGCCCGGCCTCTGCCAGCCCCTGCTCACTGGGGAAGCTACGGCACAGGGTGGCTCTGGGCTGCCTGGCCCTTATCTCGCCAGCTGCTGCATCTACTCATCTTTGGCTTTGCAGCGACTCTCACTCCTCCATCCTGGCTTGGTGCGGGGGCTCTGAGGAGCGTAGTTGCCTCCATCCCTCCTCTCCTGCCATGGACATCCATTGCTCCTTCTGACTGCCCTGGCCTGTGGGTGACACAGCTGCTGCCTGCAGGCTTGCCAGGGTCCCACGACAGCAGCAACATGCTCTCTGATAGCCATGGGTAGAAAGTGGGATAAAAATATCCTCGCTGGAGAGGCAGGCACAGGCCCAGGGCTGGGGATTGAAGCAGAGCGTCCTGTGAGCAGGCTGCAAGAGGGGGTGGGAGCGTGGGCAGAGCCAGGGGGATGCTCTGGCCTCTTCAAACCAGCAGCATCCAGGGCAGCAGCTTAGCAGAGCCCTCTGTGTGGCAGTGAGGTGCAAAGCCGCCTGCGCTAAAAAAAGCCCTCCTGACAGCTGGATGAGCTTAACCACACGCCAAGCCAGCCAGAGCTGCTGCAAAGACAGCGGGCTGGAAAATGGGAGCAGAGCCCAGCCTCGGGGGACACAGGGGCACCTCAGCAGCCAAGCTGCCTGTCCCATCCTCACCCTGATGGCAGTCCCTTTCCACCACATACAAATTGGCAAGCAACATGCTTCTCTTTGCTTTTGGTTTTGTATAAACAACCTGCCTTTATTATTTGGTATATATAGGTACATTATATGTATATCAAAAATAACTAGAGGAAACCATGGTGCACTTAAAGCTATTTGAGAAGGTCCACCTGAAAGCAAGCACTCCAGGAAGGGGTAGAATGACCCCTCAGGGGGAGCCCAGCCCTGAACAGAGATGGCATTAAAGTGAGAACAAAAACGTGGACTCTCTGCTGGGATTAAAATGTGCCATTTGCTCTGGATATGGAAGGAGCAGAAAGCCAGATTAAATCCTCAGAGCAGCCCAGAGGAGAGCAGAGGGTGAGCTGAAAGTGCACGCCTGGGCTGGGAGAGCCCCCCCTGGGTTCGAGCCACTGTGTGTGCTTGAAATCACTCACCCACGGCTGTTTTGGGTTTGGGGAGTTTTCCTCTCCAAAAGCTGCTCTGCCATGCCCAGGCACCACCAGCTGCTGAACCGCTGGGGAACGTGGAGTGCCTGCAAAGGGGTTCTAACCTTCAATCGCTATGATTGTCCGCTGCCTCCTAAAGCTGGGAGGAGCACCATTTTCTTCCCCACCCCACATCCCTGCTCGCAAGGTCCCTGGTGCTGCTGCCCACGCTCCCCCGTGCACTGCACTCAGCTACGGGCACACACAGGGTGAGCACAGGAGAAACACACAGGGGTACCAGCCAGGAGGTCCCCAGAGCGGGACTGAGCCCGGGCACAGGGAAGGGGTTCGGCACAGTGGTACCTACAGACACGCGATGGCCAAGGGAAAGTGGCAATGGCCCCAAGGGGCTCTGAGGGGCGAAGCTCAGCGATGCATCAGCCCAGCGGCTCTGTGGCACGTCTCAGCCGCCCCGGGCCTCCCGGGCCTCCCGTTCAGAGCCCTTTGTTGAAGTAGACGGTCTCCAGCCGTGGATCTTTCTCCCGGATCTGAGCTTGGACTTCAGGCTCCAGGCGGCTCACGGGCATCGAGCTGCCGAGGGGACACGGATGCAGGGGATGGAGGGGGGACACCTGCTAGGAGCCCCGGGTTGGGAAACCACCCGCACCCCACAGGAACATTGTCCCCATGGCTCAGCGCAGACCTTTGGGTCTGCACTGCTGCGTGTGCACAGGGACATGTGTGTGCACACAGTTTCAAGCCTCTGACCACTTGAAGGAGCAAAGGTATCTCTTCGGAGTCAGAGAGCACAAGGAGCCCCCACACCTCCCGCCTGCACCCCCTGCCCTGCCCCACGGGGCTGTACACGCAGGCAAGGCACCCGTCCTTACCTTTTCTGTGGGAAGAGCGCGCAGCACAGCGGGGTCGCGAACACCAAGCTGCAAGGGAAGGACATGGAGAGAAGCTGGGCTGCAGAAATCTGCTCCCACCCGTGGCCTGACCCCAGAGCAGCAAGGAGGCAGCCCAGAGCCGTGCCGGGTGCTCAGCCAGGAAAGGGATAAGGAGATGCCCTCTCCAAGATCTAGACCCTGCATTTGGCTCTTGAAGCGGGGCAAAGCCTGTCCCCATCAGTGTGGGGGAATAGCAATGCTGAGCAGGAGCCCATGGCCAGCTTGAGAGACATTGAGATGGAGCAAAACAGCTCCTGGCCCCAGGACCTCATTCCCCATCCCATCTGCCTGGGGGGCACCAGCCTGGCCAAGCTCCGGCAACCCCCCGAGGAGCTCTGGGGCGGCTCTCGCCTCCCCTGCCAAGCAGACCCCCCAGCAGCACTACCCCTCATACCCAGGCTCGGTCTGCACCTGGGGCAGCGATGCCCATCGGCAGAGGGTGACTTACCAGAGTCCCACCAGGCCGACCTGCAGAGGAGCGTTCAGATACGGGTACCGCTGCCAGGGACAGGGAGAGGCTGTGAGTCAGGGGGACGAACGTGGCAGGAAGGTGCCTGTTTTCCGACAGGGTGCCAGCCCCGAGGGGTGTCAGCGCTGCCATAAGCTAGGGGGGTGTCCCCTTGCTCACCCTCCCAACCCAGGACCACCAGTACCTTCAGAAAAGCTCTTTTCTCCAGCGCATTCATGATCACCGGGGGGATGGCTGGGGCAGAAGGGAAGGAGATGAGCTCCCAGTACTCACAGCCCCCTGCCAGCCGTGGGACCCTGTTCCACGCTGCCAGGGACCAGCTGCAGCCCCCAGACACGGGTGGAGGAGGGGAGACTCACCCATGGCCGGGGCTGCCATGCCGATGCGGGACACCACTACCTGGAAAATGGCCTTCTGGGCTGCAGCCGTGGACTCACCCAGGCGGTTCCCATTCTCATCCGTGACGGGGATCCCCAGCTTGAGCTCTCTGCAGGGAGAGCAGGGCGTGAGGGGGCCCCAGGGCACACAGGTGGGGGGGATCAAGGAACAGGGCAGGGACACAGCATATGGGCATGTCTCCACGGGAAGCTGGTATCCTCCTCTATTCCCCATCCACTCCCTGTGTAGTAAGTTGGGGTTGTCTCAGCCGGACCTACATTCACACGTGGGGGGTCTTCAACAGAGCTGGATGGGGATGGGGAGTTCACAGCCAGCTTAACCGATAACCTCTTGGGATGCAACCAGGTCCTCGTACCCTCAAACCAATCCCCCAGGGTAAGGGATGCCAGCAGGGCCAGGATGCAAGCCCCGGGCACTGCTCCCCACATCCCCCACCAGTGCCTGGTGAACCCCGATGTGAGCCCAAGCACCCCATCCCAGCCCAGGGGCTCACCTCTGCCTCATCAGCGGGATGTTGATGCAGTTGGCAGCAGCCACAGCCGCGAAAGGCACGTACCGGCCAATGAGGGCTGGCAAGTGCTGGGGGGGCAAGCAGGGAGCATGTCACGCAGAGAGTCTGGGGGCAGAGCTGGCTGTCCCCGAGTCTGCCACTGTCCCCCTGCAAGACCTTGGGGTGTCCCAGCCCCACTGGGGAATACCGTTCCCTCCTCCCCTGCAACTCCCAGCCAGTGAAAGCTGCACAGCCCAGAGGATCCGGGGAGTCCCACATCCTCTCCCAACTCTGGAGGGAGGCCAAGGGGTGAAAGAAGCCTGGAGAGATCCAGCTGGGGGTGGAGCAGGACCAGAAGGACAGGCCATCTCTGGAGCCATCACTGGGGAGAGGGGCTGCATTGCATGGGTGCTCCCAGGAAACCCCTTTCCTTCATTTTCTCCCCTGCCCCTGGTGATGGGGTGAATCGCCCACTCAGGTCAGAGCTCAGGAAGACCCCACAGGGAGGGTCCAAGTGTCCTGGCCAGAGATGGCCCAGAGCCACCTTACCTTGGTGAGAGATTTGAGCCCCAGTGCTGTGACAACTGCCCCTGTGGTCGCACTCACATAGGCTGTCCCCAGCTGGCTGCAAGAGCAGGAGGTGACACCAATAAGCCAGGGTCCCCCCATCCCACCCCTGCCCCCAAAGGAGGGGACAGCATGCCCTTTAATAGCATCAGGACACCTGGGTTCCTCTCCCAGCAATATCACTAACCCTGACAGCCCCACTGGTGTCCATCTCTGGCTGCACCAGGTTCCCATCGTCCCATCTCACAGCCCCCCGCTATTCAAGAAGCTATTCAAGGCACCCCCCTGGCATTTTGGGGTGCCACAAGGACCTGGCCAGAGGGATGCTTACCTGGGGGTGATGGGTGCATCCCCACTGCGGTTGGTGTAGTTCACAATGGCGTTGAAGGACTGGTTGACCCACTGCCAGAACAGCACGGCCGGCGTGGTCCTACCAGAGAGAGAAGAGGGTGTTGGTGGCACTGGGGGATGCCACCCATGCTCTTACAGCATGGGTGCCTTGCAGGGTAAGGGGCATGTGTCCCCGCCTCAGCCCAGGGCCAGAAGGGTGCTGGGGAGGGGGCAGGAATCCCCCCCCCCCCCCCAGCAGCCTCCTGGCCCTGGGCTGAGGAGGGGACAGGTACCTGTAGAAGGTCAACATGCAACCGGTGATGGTCATGTTCATGGGCACCTGGGCGGACATGCGCCCTATGAGGAGCATCTTCTCACCCGTGTCGGGGTGGAAAGCCGAGTCGTAGATGTACTTCGCCCGCCAGAGCTGGTCCTCTGTTAGACCCGGGGGTACCGTGCCCGCCCTGCCGGGTAAGGGTAGCACCTGTTGGGAGACCCATGCCCTGCCTGGCCCCCCACCCCATGTGGGGCAGCTGGGAGATGCCTTAGGGACCAGCCAGGCAATGTGGAGGGCTGGCTTTGGCCAGGGCGGGGGCCAGCACCTGTTCCCACCCCTGGGGATGGCCCTGAGGCCGTATCCTGCCCAGGAGCGGTGCTGGGGGTACAGCTCCCCCCTCGGTACCTGTAGTCCTCCACCACCCGGCGGGCCTCCTCCAGCGTGGCCCCCGAAAGCAGCAGGTTTCGGGGGTCGGTCACCATGAAGAAGTGCTTGGCCCGGCCCTGGAAGGTGCTCTGGTCCCAGCGGGGCTCCCGGATGTTGATGGTGGCAGGGAGGGACGGTGGCATCTTCTGGGGGGGGGCGGTTATGTGGGATGTGGTGCCTGTGACCCTGCACCCTGCATCCCCGCTGGGGCAGCTCTGGAGCTCCCCCAGCCTGGGGGGACACGAGTGGGGGATGGGGAACCCCCTTGCAATGGAGCAGAGTGGGGACCCCCGAGCCCACCCAGCAGATGGGGCAGCTCGCAGGTGGGGTGACCCCTACCACCACTGCACCCCACTCACCCTGCAATCTGTCAGTGGGGAGCCCCCCCA